ATATCTACACATAGCCTCAGATCAATGAGCTGTGGGTAACTCCGGCTAACAGTAAATCCGCTTTGCACAACACAGCCACTGCTTCACAGCGCCGGAGCACAACTGGCCGGAGCCCGGAGCGCAACAGGCCCTACCGCAACAGGCGGCGCAGGTTAGGTTACATTAGGAGTAGCTGTTGCGGTAGGGGTAGGGCCTGTTGCACCCCGGCCAGTTGTGCTCCGGCCTGTATGCCCTCCGGCCTGTGACTGAACGGCGCTGTTGCAGTGGGCGCTTTGTGTCAAAAGCCGTGAAGATGCCCGGTATTGAATTTCGGTACAACTGGAAATCAAAAAACAAAGAAAGCGTTGAAACTTGTATTGTGGTTCCGCAAAGAGAATTGGTTCGCAGAATAAAGCCAGAAGGAAACGTAAAGCACGAAGCGCGATGAGGAACTCGTGCACTGTAGTAAAATACGTACGCACATAAGTACAAGTTTGAACGTTAGAAGTCTAGAACACAATATTTGATTTATGAGAGATGTGTGCGCGGGCACGTATTTGGTATATATTAGTGTATTGTTGAAAGTAAATTTGATTGTTGTGTGTTTGTTAATGGTATTGTATGTATTGTCTGTAGTGTAGATGTATATGTTTTATTAATTGTATGTTGTATATTAAGATAGATTGGGGGTTATGTTCGGTTATCTGGTTGCCTGATAGTGCACAATAACTGAATAAAATAGGGTGTAATTCATCTAGCATGAACTGTGAGGTTCCTCTCCACATGAGGTCCTGAGGATCATTCACTATCTTTCCTACTTCTTCAAAATAACTCTATGCTTATGTTGAGTTGAAGGGCCTATCTTCAGTCTCTTAACTGGGAAGGGCATCTCTCAACTGGGTGAAGAGCCAAAGTTGGGTGAGAAAAATCTACTAGCATATCTGGAAGACTGGAAGTAAGCATTGCTTATAGCACTGATAGATCTAACAGTTATGCAAGACGTAACGGTGTACGTAAAACATTGCATATCATAAACTAGTTAACTATTTTATTAGATTTGATATACTAAAATTACCTTCTATCCTCTAATATAAGTCACAAACTGTACCTATATATTTACTTTGCCTGTTTGCCAGCAAATTTTATGCCAATTTAAAAATATTCATCATTTATTAGATACCTATTCTACTGATGAATGTCCTGTATTGAACTCATTTTCCAAGTTGAATGGATCATTTTGATCAATCAAGCTTGTGGTGTTGTAGGGAAGACTTCAGTGCTGATAAATCACAGCATCATGGTGTACCTACTGTCACATCTAAGGAGCAGGTATGTGGTTATTGAACTTTTCATTTTAAGCCAAAGATTCTTGTAAGATGAATATGAGTTTTATTTAGTTCCATGTATCCACAGCATTTTTCTGTGCTAGTATTTTTCGTAGTTTTTTCTTGTTTTTTTTTATTTTTTTCTGTCATACCGTACCACTTTCTTTCCTTGTTTTCCCATCTCAATCTTATAAAATTTGTCTAATGGTTAAATTTTTTTTCAGCAGCAATATATTGTGAAACCAAGCTATAAGTATAACCCTTTTACTGATGAGGAGGACAAAAATTTAATTATAGCTTAGGACTTTGAACTTTTTCATGAGGTAATAGAGCTGTGCAGTTGGGAATTACTTTTGGCTTTTGGGGCACTTGTTTATCACTTTAAGACTGTTATTTACCATTAAATCATAGATTGAAGAGCTCATTAGCTCAAGAGCTACTGCTGAAATATTATTTGCCATCATGTTGATGTAGTATTTATTTTCCTTCAAAGTCTTCCAAATGTTGTTAATATTTGAAACTTCTTTTGAATTTAACAGTGTAAACTTTTCTATAAATTCCCTGCTAGCATGATAAAAAGTAGCTAACTACCTGATATGTTATAAGAATGTAATGTTCTTTATGTAGTTGAACCATGGATTTATTGAAGTTTTCTTGCAGATGAAGGTTGAAGAAAGCATTTCTGCATATTATCAATTCATCTATAACAAGAAACCCTTCAAAACTGAAGATCTCAAGCTTGAAAGAAGCAGGCATGTTGCATACCTCAGACATGGACTGAAAAATCTCTCCAAATCATTTGAGGTAAAAATTAATAAATATTTATTTGCACTAATTGGTGAACTTTTTTGAGAGAAGGGCAAAATTTGCTGCTCCTGCAGGTGGTGAATATTCATGGAATCTAGGTAGTATTTTGTCACGAGTTATTATATTTGAGTCATAAGTGACAATAAACACTTTTTCATATGATTTGTAGATCCAGATATTCAATGATGAATTTAAAACTTCTATTTTCAGTTCCTTGATGCCAGTCGACCATGGCTGGTTTACTGGTGTTTACATGCACTTCATTTGCTAGAGGAGAGTCTAGATCTTGATGAGCAGCAGTCTGTTATAGATTTCCTTGCAAGGTGAGAGTGGGACAAGGTTACCGTGGTTAGAAAATTAGTGTGAATAAATTAAGTCAATGTTTTTACCATTAGGAATATTATTTGTTTAGGTATACACACTGAAATGCTTAGAAAGATTGGTTCAATTTGTAGGCATATTGTAAATAATTTCAAACAACTGATTCTAATATTAGTGAGACAGGTGCCTGAATAATGAAAGTAATCTTTAGTGCAGTCATGACTTCATTCAACATAATCTATGTACATAGATAATGAAATGATTCCTGAAATTTTGGCCTTTAGATATGTGGCTGTTAACCTTATTTTCTTGATTCTCTAATAAATATTGGTAAAATTATTGTTAGCTTTGAAGAACTTTAATTCCCTGTGTATTATTCCTCAGATGTCAGTGCAGTGATGGTGGTTTTGGTGGAGGTCCAGGCCAGTTGGCTCACTTGGCTCCCACATTTGCAGCTGTCAATGCCCTTGTCACTATTGGCACTCCTGCTGCTTTTGCTGTCATCAACAGGTTGTGTAAAATTATTGTATCTGAGATCTTCTGATATTTTCTTGCAGCTAAAACTTATGTACAAATTGTGGGCAGATTGTTTGCTAATTTATTGAATTTATACCTTGCTTGTATTGATTTCACATCAATTTTTTTCCTCACCTGGCTGAGTGCTCAAGTTAATCCATTATTTTCCATTTGCAATAGCTCCTTATGACCATTTATGTTTTATTTATTGCAAATCTTACAGTGTAATAAATGTACATTAGATTTTAATTAGGTCTTCTTGATTGAATTTTATTTGAAGGCATTTAAAATTGTGCTGGTTGGCACCAGAAATATGATTTTAACTTGACTACTTTTGTATAGGCGTTCCAGGAAACTTTTCTTCCTCAGATCTATTTCATCTAGAGATTTTTACTCATGAGAATTTGAAAAACAAATCTAATCCTTCTTTGCACCTGTAAATGACAACCCAATTGGATTTATAATTATATACGTGTATAAAATTTTCCATGGAATGGTATACCACTTCTCCTTTCAGCCTTTTCCTAAACTGCTGGTTGAATAACAAATACTTTTTTTCTCTTTGTAGTCAGTGAATACTATTTGTGGTTCTTTCAGTGTTAGATTAAAAACGATAATGAATATCCATCTCGTGACAGGCAGAGTCTTGCAGATTTCTTGGCACGGATGGTCACGGCTGAAGGATCGTTCCGCATGCACGAGGGCGGCGAAGTTGATATTAGAGGCACATACTGCGCTGTGTCAGTTGCCAGGCTATGCAGGCTTGCCATCCACCCTCTCATGTCTCGCACTGCCTCCTGGATAGTCCAGTAAGCTACATTGCCTAGCTTTCAAAATGATATAATGCTAATTTTTAGGAATATAATTATGATTTTTTGTGTGCAATGATATAAATCCACTTCTAATTTAAAATTAACTTTCATTGAACAAACATCATGGTTCTTCAAGTAGGAAAATTTTGGTTTCAATAGTCTGATCAGCCTCTACTCTGTCTCAAGCTGTCTGTAAATATGAAAAATTATTCATTTTAACTATACTTGAGGTGATTCAAGTCTTGATTTACTATACTTTTTTAGATTTGACCAAATTTTCTCTGAATTTATGAATGTTTGAATGAAAATCATCTATTGTTTAGCTGCACTTTGCTTATGAATATTAATTTGTTTTCACTTGACAACATTTTTGTAACTGCCTATTGCCATTAACCAATAATTGCATCTCGCAGTAGCACCTAATTTCAGTACCACTAGTTAACCGCTATTCGGTTTTTCAGTTGCCAAACGTATGAAGGTGGCTTCAGTGGAAGTCCTGGCCTGGAGGCACATGGCGGTTATACCTTTTGTGGCCTTGCTGCCTTGGCTCTGCTCGACTGCCAGCACCTTGCCGACAATAACAGGCTCTTGGTAATAGTTTTTTCATTACTGCATGGTGGAGGCATGTGGGGCTAGCTTCAGTTAGCTTCAGTCATTAATTTTTATGTGCTTCTATGGACAATTTGAAACACATTTTTGTGAGAGTATACCAAAAGATGCCTAGTTCATGTTGCTGCAACGGTATCAGCCTTGAATTTCTTCAGTTTTAATTCGACTATCAATCCAATTAGTTAGACTTCATTATTTTAATTTGATAAAAATTGGATAAAATAGAAAAATGGCATAAAAATTCTGAGTTTGCTAAAATTAATTCTTATATTCGATTAGCTCAGATGCCCATTTGGTTACTCAGTGCTATTATTTTGCTTTAATACCTCGAATATATTCCAAATAGACATGGATTATAGTGGTTTATCTACTATAGAACTGTGTTAATGTCGTGATGTATTACAAAAGATGGGTGATATTTTTTTATCGTATCAGCGATGGGTGGCAAGTCGACAGATGCGTTTGAGCGGCGGCTTCCAAGGACGCACCAACAAACTAGTGGACGGCTGCTACAGCTTCTGGCAAGGCGCCCTTTTCCCCCTCCTGCACCACACTCTCACCTCGCGAGGTAAGCTCTTCTTCAACACGAGCACCACACTCTCTCACCTCGCGAGGTAAGCTCTTCTCCAACACGAGCACCACACTCTCACCTCGCGAGGTAAGCTCTTCTCCAACACGAGCACCACACTCTCACCTCGCGAGGTAAGCTCTTCTCCAACACGAGCACTACAACTTTACATCGCGAGATGCTTTCTTCTCAAAGTCACCTGAGATTTATCAGTGGCTGCATGTTGCTAAGTTGTAATCCTTGCTACATTTCGAATGAAAATTGAGTTTTCATGAAAGTTGAATTAACGAAAACTGAAATCTTGCTTGATCATTAGTACTTGATTCTTCAACTCAGCTAATTCCTTTATTGTGTATGCAGACAACCATGCAGACACGGATTCCTGTTGGCTTTTCCACTGCGAGGCGCTTCAGAACTACCTGCTCGTGTGCTGCCAACACCCTTCAGGGGGCCTCATTGACAAGCCTGGCAAGTCAGTCAAAAGAGACACTTAATAATCATATATTAGTTCGCATACATTGTATGATTTACTCTATTTTATTCAGAATATCAAACGTGCTGAATTTGACAGAGATGCATGCGAATATAATGAAATAAGGGTGCTATATAAATCATAGAAAGCAAGCAAAGTTTAATGTCAATGAAAGCCTGGCAGATGTTGCATACATGATTGCGAATTTGTCTTCAAGTCTTGTTCAGAATATTGTTCATATTGCTTTATTCCATTTCAAAGTGCTGGAAGTTATTCACCATTATGAGCTAAAGGTATTTGTGGTCTTAGTATCTTTGTATTATTCAGCCCGATTTGTCACATCATCATGAAATACTGTATTCTTCATTGGATTATAATTAAATCGTGAATCAGGAAAAAGATGCGATTCAAATAGTTTCGTTAAAGTTCACGGAAGAGAAGGAATTACAACCCTGTTTTCAATGTTAATTACTGTTCGTTTATTTTCAGGTCACCAGATTTCTACCACACATGCTACACGCTAAGTGGACTGAGCATCGCCCAGCACTTCTGCTACGGCAACACCAGCAAGCTGTCCGTCGTGGGACATGATGCTAATGAAGTGGTCAGTTCAGATCTTGCAGCCATTGGTCTGCGGGTGATAACAGTTGTGATGACTGGATTTTCTTCATATATCCATTTAGGATTGTATATCAGATAACATTTATTTCATATTCACGTTTTACTCATTATTTATATATATAATCTTATTTTCTAAATCTTGTTCCGTGCCTCATCTTGGTGCAATAGACAATAGATATTTTCTTTGTATTTATTAAATAGACTTACTTCCTAAATCTTGTTCCATGTCTCATGGAAGTGAAAGATTAACTTACAATTCTGATTATATTATGTGTAATTTTACATCGTAAATCTTCTTCCATGCCTCATCGGGGTATTAGATTAATTTCTATTCTCTTGGTATTTATTATATATCATTGTCTGTTTAATTTTAATGAATACAGCATTATCATCATCATCTTATTTATTGTTGTCACTGTGCAGGCAATGACACACCCCCTGTACAACGTGGGCATGAGCGCCGTGCACGCCGCCAAGTCGTACTTCATGCAGCAGCCTGACGTGCAACCTAGCGTCTTCTCGGCCTCTCCCTCCTCCGCCACACATAATGCAAACCAGGTTTTTGTTATATATATACCATATCTCACTCTCATGCATCCTATAGTATTTATTTCCTCATTACAATCGGGAACTATAATGTTGACCGACTCGTAGAGTACTTGAGGGCAATCAATGCATTTAACTACATATGATTCGCTCAACACCAAATACAAGTGACGTAATCTACCCCTAGCCAGTAATGTCCGACGTGACTATCGGCGCGAGATAGCTCGACCTGAAGCGCTAGCAACTACGGCCACTGAACTAACTAACTCCTCATTACAATCGACCAGATCTCATAGCCGAAGTCTGATTGTCACCAATCGATAAAGATTATATTATACTAGTACTATGAAGTGAATATAGTTCTTCAATTTCAATGGTGCTATTATAATTGCAAGTTTTAATTTATGCTATTCATAGTTGAAAGACAAGAACGTTATCGGCATTCATACTATGTTATTCAGCATTTTGTTAGAACAGATCAGAGTTGGTGGTGTTGAAACATCATCACGGATCATTGCATAAAAGCCGTTTATTAGCTGCATGATTTTTTGCAGCCGTTATTGGTTGTTTGTGCTCACTCATGATTGCTTTATCTGAGTGAAAATTAAAAGAAATCGAGCTCAGCTTTGATATTTAAAAACTTATTTTACAGTTCCGACCAAAGAATACTTTCAAGTAGGTACCTAACCCTTGTCGCGATGCATAGGTAGAACTGAACCAAAATCAGATACGATTGTAACGATGTAAAATTAAGAAGCGTGACAAAGGTTAAAATCATCGTGTGTGGATGCCAGGTACCAAGTCGTGTAAACGGCACGAACAACTGCAATGACCGCATGGACGCCAGCGCTGACGCAGTGACCGAAGCTTCGCAGCGTCTGCACATCTCATTCGCCCAGGCGGCGCCCTCTGTCACACCGAACTCGGGATGCAGCCTTCGACAGGGTCCTGATTAATGTTACTCATTATTTAGACCGTGAAATGTCTAAGTATAAATTAATACGTTGATGATGACTATAGGAAATAAGGAGAGAACATGTGCTTTGGTTTAGGCTTCATTATCTCTTCTCCAACCTGCTTCAATATAATGCTCAAGCCAAGTGCATAATGTTGACGTCTGCAATATACCTCCATTGTTTTTATGAGTCATTCATATATGCTACGTGCATGAATAAATTATGATCGTTGGTATGTTCATAGAAGCTTATGTGTACGGGTACGTGATTGCCATTGTTTGTTCTTGGCAAGTGAAGTGCGGATGAAAACATCACAATCGTTAATGCTAACTGAGACGCTTTAAGAAAAGACGGTCTCAAAAGCTGAAACCGTCTTAATGACAAAGAGAAAAATGACCTTTTATGCTAGGATATTCGTGGCTTGGCTGTAGTGAATGGAAAATCTTGTAGCTCTCCTCAACAAGCCGCTTTGTTATTGTTCTCATTGAAATGTTATAAATAAACGTAAGAAACTGGTAAGAGTGCCATGGCCTTGATGTGCTATTTTGATTGAGGTAGTTTTAAGCTTTCAATAGTAACAACTGGTATCAATTGATATTCAACCTGTCGATATGTGACGAATTTTACGAAGATTTTCCCTTTCAAATTCGTGTTTTGTTTCTTCTAAATATCTCCTCAGACTAGTGAAGCACACAGTGATTTTCTATCTCGTACCGACTTCTATCGATTGCTTCTGCACCTGAACGCTAATTGGCTATGTTGAGAAGAAAGACTTCCTACAAAATGACGGCATTGCTGGTGTTGCCGACACACTATAATAATTACGGTCTTGCTAGTACATCAATCATTTCAGTGGCTAGTAATCATTGCTAGTACATCAGTCATTTCTATTAGCTGACAAAATGCTGACGTGAAGCCTGAGTCTGTCAACTGCGAGATCTTGTAACCACCGTAAACATTTTTAGCAAGTCGCTTCACGGTTTCTGAGCTCTTACTGAATTTAATGCGTCGTAATCTCTGCTAGGAATTCATAATAATTGTTATTCGAGCGTGGCACGCCATGCGTAAATTGTGGGTTCATAAATTACAGTCTAAAAACGATGCAAAGCTTAGGCGCAAATCCGGGCAGTAACGAATATTAGAATCGTAAAACGTTTCATAGCATTCGGATGAGCCAGAGTTTGCAAAAGTAATTAGTAATAAAACCTTATCGACCTGACGAGACAAAATTATGTTCTGTTTATGATGTTTGCATTGGGGCTGTGCACATTTTTACTCTCGCTAGGAATAGAAAGTCCGACGCTTAATTGTTCAATGTAATTTATTCCTTAAGAAAGTGACTGTGAATGCTGTGCATGTTTACTGGCTCTGTCCTGCTGCTGGTATAGCCCTTACTGTCCTCTCTTATTCAACTCTCCGCTTCCGAGGCTCAGGTCGCCATGAAAATTAGATATTAACTAACGGCATCCACTAAATTGGCTATAATTCGTGCCTTGAATCTTTGTCAAGGCTAAAATTCACTTGGACGAACCGAATGACCTGTTCCAAGAAGTCCTCATTACGCCGCAGTAAATCGTCAAATATTCTCGTTTTTGTGGTCGACTGAGGCTGTCGTGTGCGGAGGAGTGATGCAAGTCCCTAGGCTGTGTCTATGTCCCATTATTAGTATTAAAGAAGTACGATGTGTTCACGGTTCAATTCTTGTTGTTGCTGCTGCTGCTGCTGCTGCTGCTGCTGCTGCTGCTGCTGCTCTACAATGTTCTAATCACTAAGTTATTTAATCATATTGAAGGTATTTTCAAAGTTATCTGCTAATGACGCTTTATAAAGTGTTCTTTATGTCCCAAGAATTGGGTCGGAATTAATCACTCAGATAAATTATACCTTAGAAGCAGCGCCCGTTGATCTTTTTTAGGTATCGTATTTTAGATTGAAAATACCAATTGCTCTCGAAAACGAGAATTGTCACGCCAGTTCATTTATATTCGCCTCGGCACTCTAGTTGAATAGGCAGATCTGATTAGGTCAATGTTGATTGCGAATAACGCGATCGTTGATACGGGTTGATTTGGTGGACTACGGGAGGAGTAAAAATATTCAAATATGTCGGGATAGCTCGAACCAGGTTTGTTTTTCGTTTTGGCTTTTGATTTTTATCAACTGGTGAGCGTTCGAAAATTTTATGAACTCTTGCAACTGTGGCACAGATGTGAGAAATGAGAATTTTTTTTCGTTTCACTTCCTGCCGCTTCTTTAAGCACATGAACAAATTTGTATTATACGATGGGCTGCTGTGCATCAATTAACTATATGTAGAATACTGGTAATGAGGCTCGTCACTGCCATATTGCTGTAGTGTTAAGGAAAGCAGTGTGAAGAAAACTCGTGATTGTTGATGAACTCATCCCTACTCAGGATTGTTATTGGTCGAATCGCGGTAGTGTTATCGTGGGATGAACATGCTTCTTGTGCTATATGATATGAAACGTAATAGCTATTACCCGTTAACGGAAGTGTTAGCGGCCCATTAACATTTTAAAATGTCGAGCATTGACAAATATTGTTTGAAAAACTATAGCATCAATCCGGTTAACGATTTTTCTCTCTTGTTGACTGAAAGAGAACATATTAGAAATGTTCGCAATGCTGTCGGTGGAATGTTATTAGCGGTGTTATTAATCTTAGTCTGCTTAGTTTCCTATTATCCCAAATATTTTAGGATAATCTGATCAATAACGTAAGCCGCTCTTGAAGACTTTAAATGATCCATTCGTCTGGGCTTGCTTATTACTTTATCTGGCACTTCGTGTCAATCTTTAAAAAAAAACAATTGGTGATGCGTTGCGAGTTATTTACTCAATTATTTGTAGCGTCAATTGTGAGTAAAGTTCATTAAATATTTTCAGTATGAACTGTTTTCGTCATTCGGGTTCCATTCCGTACGTTACTGTTGGAGTTACGATATTGTCAGAGAGGCGAACAGCTGGACTTCATTTTTTACAAGATTGTTTTAGGCTCCTTTGTTCAATTGATGAGAGAAAATGTGTAAGTAGAAGACGAATTTTAAGAGTATCACCAATTCATGACGGCGATGATGCCAAAATCAAGGTCCGGTTTCATAGTAGGGTCGTTTGCAGTCCGCTGAGCGCAGGTTAGACGCACCTGACTCCTTCATTGGCTGGCAGTTTAGTTAAATCGATAACTAACGTAATGACTGTGCCAGCTGTTCACTGGTTTGACCAAGAAGCTGCAGTGTGGGTTAGCTTTTCATAAATTATGCTAATCTGAATGTTTTCCAGTACTGATCCACGTGGATATTAAGAAAATTGAGTAATATCCATGATCGCAGCTGACATTCCAACATGATTTTGAAGCCAGGCATTGTAGTGCCAGGTCATCGTAGTATATCCATAATCTCAAGTTTCATATAGCGCGCGATATTTCGATGGTCTCCTGAAGTTCATCCGCGTCGATGACGAGCATATCCCATGCCGTGGTACCTGTGGACAAATAAAGAGCAAGCTTACTACTAGATCTCATTTTGTAGTGGAAAATTCAAGGTAACTTTCGCTGGTCTCGTGCCTCGAGCATCTTTTCACTTAGTTCGTTTACGGCCTCGTTTGGATGTAATTCTACTAAAAATAATAATATTCGTACCAGTGCATTAATATCTACGGTTATCTCCAATCTCTTATCACTCACGGGTCGCACAGGAAATGATATGCACTCACGCGGGACACTGAAAGATGTTGATGATGGCGCCCTCTCCTGTTCTGTCATGAGATGGTCCACCGGTATTAATACCGGTGCTATAAAAGTATAAATAATAAAGTAGCTCGAAGTTTGAATAGGCCAATTTTTGCATGTCGCCGATTCGTAACTACCCGATCAAGTTGCCGATTTCAAACAGAATTATCATACCTGGTTGCGGGTTTTAAACTCCCGATTCGCACTGCCTGATTTTTCTCTGTAAAATATGCCTGAACTTCCTCGTAACTTCTACCTAAAATTTTTTAAATTTGTGCTCATTTATGAAATACCTCATTAGGTATTATTATCTACCGAATTATGAATACCTCACTTACTTTTCGCAAGAGAAATTGAAAAGAGCAAAAGGTCGTCTGGATTATATCACCATTTCTCCCATTAGATGACAGGGTCGCTAGAAGCATTTAACCTGGCTGTGTATAGCCCACGAATGGTAGCTTTAATGCAACTTATACAAAAGTTACCGTACGGGCAATCTATGCCGAAATGCGTTATAAACCCTAAACTTGTGGATTCGGCAAGTAAATGCTATGTTGGCTTTACTTATCGGCGTCTGAAGAGAGAAATTAGTGTAAGCACACACGATGATTTTCCCTAACGAATAATGAGTTCTTAGGACTGATTACTGTTCAGGAATGACGAACCTGTGAAAAACCAACTCGCCGACGAATGCGAAACCCCCGACGAAGCAGCCGAAGACGAGGACGAGAAAGACGCCCTGAAAGTGGTCGAGGCTGAGCACGACGACGCCTCCTGCTTCACCGCCTCCTTCGTTACCTGCCGTCTGCAGCTGACTGTTCTGCTCCTGCTTTGCCTGGACCTGTTGCTCTGAGATCACGTGCTGAAACCAGAATTTCGCCATTTAATTGTGATTTATTAGAAATATATAAATAATTTCAAATAAATTAAATGAGCTTGTAATCGGAATGCAGTCGAGTATTAAGTACACGAGTCTTTGAAAGTGAAACTAGTATTGAGGGTTTCCTTTCACAGTACGAACGAAAATTGGTGCACTATCAAACGCATTGGAAGTGTAAATTTTCGAGTTTGCATTGTAATTTCAAAGGAAAAAGATATTGTTAAGCTGCTTCTGTGGAACAGAGGTCACGTGAGTTGAGAAGTGCATATTAACTTCATCTTTCAAAATTTAAAGTGCATTATGCAGCGAGATAAATCTTTAAGAACATTAAATTAAAAAAATATTTATGGTTGTACTCACCCTGAGCCACTTCTCCACCAAGCCTGCTTGTCGCGCTCGCTGAATGAGTTCATCAAACCTGAAGAAAAGCATTTACAGACGCCTTATATTTTATTCGACAACTAAGCGATAAATGCGAATTATTCATTATCTTCTGGGCTGCCAATTGTAAACTTTTCAAAAAGCATAATTATTTTACATTCAAGAAGACTGAATTAGTTCTGCGGGAACATTTTGATCAACTTGTTTCTCGCTTGATTTTCAAATAGTTTCTGCTGATGAAGTAAGTTTTGTTTAGTTATTTATAGAAGATGTTCTATAGAAAAAGTAAAGCTAGATGATATTGATGGGATAAATAATATGAACGATATGAATTGAGTGTGTTAAATGCATGTTTTAATCTCGTCTGACGTCCCAAAATTCGGCGTAGGAGTTTTTTTTTATGCCGGCCGCAAGAACTGCGTCCGTTGACGAATACTCCAACAACCACAGTCGTGTATGTCCATCAGAAATTAAATTTTTTATCGAAATTGACTGCTTTAAAAGAGGTTTAATAAATGTGTTACGCTTGATAATCAAAACTTCACTGGAATATTCGAACGTATTTGTCATATGAATCAATCCAGACGATTCTCGTAGACAGAATGCGTTATAGGCTAAGCGACCAGCAAGAGCAGCTTGTAACTGGTCGCGGTCGGCTTGCATATTTAAACAACAATGATATACAAATATGTGAGAACTGTCGTGCGATACCAGGAAAATACTTGGATTGGGACCGAATTTAACATACTCGTGTTTTTTAATGCATCATCTGGTTAAATTATTCGTAAAATCGTTGCTCGGCAAAGTATATAACCTGGCGAATCTGTGCGAAAACTAATTCTAAACGGTTTTGCCACCATATACTTCAATAAGCACGTGACTTATTAAAATCAAGAAGCCTCCACGACCTGCATTTGAAGGGGGCGAGTCGCGTCATCGGCCAAGCAATGCGTTCCTGCAGGAGCTCGAAGCCCGTGAGAGTCACGAGTGGCTGGCCGGACTTGTCGGTGAAATGCACGGCAATCTCCAGGCGCGTCGTGATGCGGTTGTCCTGTGACATTCCTCGGATAAATACGAAGTTCATAATTTTTTTGGATTACAGATTCATTGTTTAATATTCCTTCAAGTTTTGATTGACGAAGCCATGTTATACTACATAACGGAACAACCAATGACATTACTCATGTCACTTGAGTACGTAACTGACCCATGTAGCCAGTTTACCAGCCACCACCTCCTTCAGGATGCTGTCCAAGGACCTGTACCACTGTACGCCCTCCCTCAGTCTGATCAGGACGGGATCCTTGGTCTGTTCCAGCAGCGCGTTCTGGACGCCGCCGAAATTCACCTTCAAAAGAGTAAATTTTATAAGATTTCTTGTCATGAATAAATCTTATCAATTATGAATATGAAGTAAGAGCTAGTGAGCAAATCAGCTGCCAAGTCCCTCTTGATATTCAAACATGTTCCGTGAATTACAGGGCTTTGATTCAATTCTTCCTAACAAGAAGGTATAACAGGTATTTACAGACATTCCAAATACCTTCTCCTCCAAGTCAGTTATTTTACTTTCCATATCGCCCGAATCACGTTCTGTATCGCTATTATTTTAATTATTGTGTAAATATTTTTCATTTTTTATACATTTCAGTTAATTTCAATATATTTCATATATTTTAAATCATTATATCACAGCTAAACCTCTTCAATTATCTAAATTGTGATTTCACTCATCTCATTTTAATCACATTACTTTTCCCCATCCGATGTGTGAATTAACAAGCTGCTCGAGGTTCATGATGGGCTTGGTGTATCCCGGTAGGATGAGGAAGGCTGTCAGGGATGAGGAGTACAGGATGCTGATGATCATGGCTGAGAGCAGCCAGAAGAGGGCGAACACGCGACTGCTGTTGCCAGACAAGTCCTTGTGGCAGCCGTGCTGTTCAGAATAGAATTAGAAAATTCAATCAGTTTTATTGTGCTGTTCAAGAAAACATCTGTCCTACCATAAAAACTGGCCTCAACATTTACACACTAAAACACGTCTCACCATAAAGACTGCAGCGTGTACACTTACACACAACACGCCTCACAATTAAGACAGGCTGCGCTACGAAGACTTCTCACGTTAAAGACAGGCTGCGCTATGAAGACTTCTCACCTTCAAGACAGGCTGCGTTATGAAGACTTCTCACGTTAAAGACAGGCTGCGCTATGAAGACTTCTCACGTTAAAGACAGGCTGCGCTAAAGACTTCTCACGTTAAAGACAGGTTGCAGCGTGTACATGACAGCGTGTGCTGGGGTCAGGAACCAGGCGTCGTGGTCGTGAGCTGGGGAGGTCCTGACGATGATGTACAGCAGAGGTCCTGAGAGCGCAATGGCCGCAGCCACCGCCACCCACACCACCAGCGTGAAGGGCCTGTAAAAACCAAGATCAAGATTAATAATAATGCAATTTATAATACTATATTATGTTACATTTTCTAATTATATAAGGTTACATTCTGCTGAGCAATACCATAAGAAGGCTTTCATTTGCATAAAATATTTGAAAATACGGTAGGCCAGGATTTTTTATGAGCTATAGTCATACAAAAGAAAAATCAGAAATATTCAAAGGCTAAAATAATGAAATAACTTGCCAGCTTTGGAAAACAAGTACAGGGTATAATAAATTCCTAGTTGCTAAAATTACTTATATGTCGTAAGGTGGAGGAAGATTGTTAGTTTCACGTTGAATTGGATTATAGTATATTGCAAATATTCATTGACGGTGGTTGATATAATAATTGCACGAAATTCCTGAATATGTGGATCTAATTACTTGCCGGCGCTACTAATTAATTTACCGCCCTAATAACATCAGAATAATTACTTGACAGGTGGTAATAATATCAGGATAAATACTTGACTGGTCCTAAGAAGAGCGGCAGGGGCAGCGCCCTCGGTGTGAGGAGCTCGGACGCGTCGTACACGAAGGTGCTGCTGAAGGTGACGTAGCCAGCGCGCTCAGGGGAGAAGGTGATGTCGCTCACCGCCCAGTCCGCCTCCTGGCGGTCTACCAGACCTGACAATTACAGCATTCATAATATTTATAACGTACATACAGAATCACTGAAATTAGTACCGTTTTATTTACATTGTCTAAATGGCGATGCACCTTTTGTCTTTGTGTGGGTCATTCTTGATCATTTTTGGCAATGAAAAAAGGCGCCTTCCTGACCAAGGAGTGAGGAACTATGTCGCTATTGAGATAATATGATAAATTTTTCTCTTAGGACATGCTTTCTTGAAGAGGGAATAGAAGATTCACGAGACCTGAATTAATTCGTGATTAGTAATTGTGTGCTCAATTACGGTAATTATAATTTTTTCACATGCACGAATTAATTTAAATAAAAAACCGATTAGTTTGCGGCTGGCGCATATTATTTCTTTCTGATATTGATTTACTAGCGATCGTTTCATAACAGCTTTCAAGAGGGCTGCTCTAGAAAGTTTAGTTTTTTCGCTTTTCAACATCTGCATGAATTTTTTTAAGAAGGTCCTTTTCTCCTGTCGAACATATTTCTATTCAATAGCAGTTGCCAGGTTCCTATTGTGTGCTAAGGAGCAATGCTGGAAAAATGGCTGCGAGTAGTGCGGCTTTCCCCGACCAAGTTTCAAACTTATTAACCATCGCAAATTAATTCAATCGATTTCATACAATGATTGAAAATCAGCACATGCATTACCTTATTTTACATAGATACATTACAGTAAAGCAGTGCAGATGTGAACAATTCATCAAACTTTCTTTGTTGGTTCGGGAAACAAATACAGACAGATCACGATCAAATAAATTGCTATGTCAGTAAAAGCAATCTTTAAGGAAATTTCCCGGAAAAATGTTGATTCAACGTACATCTAATTCTTTATTAATTCAATTCCAGTGCATTAGTCACTCCTTTCACCGTTTCGCGCCGTCTCCTGCAATGCAGATGACACGCGGAACAAGAGTCAACAGAAAGTATAGGTATCTTTCTCTAACCAAGTCATCGCAACACCAGATTAGAAAATCGCTCGGATGAATGATTCAGTGCTATGGTGTATTCACTAGAGCGGTCATGAAGGAAATTAGCGTCATGGCAAGGTTTCTTTTCAATCTTTCACTTTTAATTCAACATAAATTTAGTCTAAATTTACTTTATTAGTCTAAACACAATAAAATTGTATGAGAATGATTACATTTCGAACTCAAGAAATAAAACAACGCATGAACAGAGTCACAAATAAACAAAAGTTAAGCGAATTTGCCCGCGATTAAATCAATTAGCTGACCAATCATGCCTGACCACGATCCGTTGGGCGAGAGTCTGCCCCACTCGCCGTCAGAGGGCGCCTTGTATTCGTACGTGAAATTGGCGACGCTGGCGAGCGTGTCGATGAGCCTCACTTCGAGGCCGGAGTATCTGATGAAAAATGTGAAAGTTTGTACAATAAAACCACATATTATCAAATATTCTTGTGGTAATTGTCCGATAAACATAAACTCTGAAGCGCATACGCGTGGATAGGCACAGGCATGAATAGATTGAAACCGTCACTGTGGCAAATATAATAGTAATTAGCGAGTTTATAAATCTGCTAATATATGAGAGGATGTGGATGGAAGCATATCTGAAGAGAACAATTTTGTTGAGCGGTTATTAAGCAAATGATTCAAAATAAATCAGTATTCATCCGATTGTGAAGGTACATCATGTCATGAAATTATGATTAACATCATTTTACGTAATAAATGCTCACTAACTTGGTACCAAGGTCAACATATAAGACATTTACTTTCGGCGTAGCCATACTTGGATATTTGGGAAAACTAAAAAATAAAGTTTGCCGCATGTACCACCAGCAAAAAATAAATTTGGAATCAATTGGGCTTCATCAGGCAGCAGGAATGTCATATTCGAGCCACAGGTAAAACCCATCGATATTCCATCATGTAAATCGTTGTAAATTTCATTCATATTCACGTCAATGGCTATGAGCCTCATGCGCATGAGAGTAAGTATATAAATAATTACTGTCTACATTTAATTTATGTGGAAACAGAGACAAACTGCATCAAACAGTAAAAAGGAGAAAACGTATTAAACGACTTTATTAACTTCATTACCTTTTCAACTTCGTTAATAGCGTCTTTTAAATAATATAAATAGAAGCACTAGCTAAGATATTTGTGGCTTTGCAGATCGCAAAGACTTCGTCATAATGACTATTATCAAGACAATATTAAGCACCAATAAGTTAATTGAAACAAGCATGAGCACCAATCGAAAGTTACTATCATAAGCTATTAACTTTCTAATACATTACACTGCATGAAGGCGATAACTGCAGACAACTGATCGTCATACTTGCCAGGCCCGGCGTAGGCGCCGTTCGCTTCGATGATGAACGGCGAATACGGCAGAGCAGCGATGGTGAACTTGTAGCCTTCGAAGTCCTGGAACCGACGATCAGAGAACAACTCTGAGCTGCGAGAATGATTAATTTATTTTGATTATGGATTTCACAAATAAATTACTCATTGATATTTTCTTCATTTTTTGTCATAGGGCAGAATATGAATGGAAGTGTACATGAATCAAGCTTAGTATTATTCAGGAAATTCTTCTCAACTCGGCGGAACAGCAATTAAAGTAATCATTCATTACCTGTTTCAGCCTAATTAAATGATTTTTCCATTAAATTTGCAGCGTACATCCAAACAATGTCCATGTTTTCAGTTAAGGAAGGCTGAGTCTATTACCAATGACTATTACCAATTCAGAAATTAATCTAATCATTTTAATCGACCGCGTGTGCACCATTTTTGCAACACCGGACTCAAGTGGGATACAAAGTGGATATAATATTTTTCCTTCAGCTTAATTAAAAACAAAAAATATACTTTGTTTACCCCTGTGTCCAGCGCACACCCGCATCCCGGTGATAGGTGGCAATGAGGGCTGAGGTGTGTCGATGCGGGCCTCGGTACAGAACTGACCGGAACAGCCGCCAGAGGTTGTTGTGAGGATCATACGAACACAGCACGAGTTGGACGCTTTTGCTGGAGACAATATTGTTAGTTGAAACGCATATTGTTTTTATGTTTAATTTAGGATTTTTAACGATTGGTTCTCATTTACTGTAGGCGATTTTTATTCACTTATTACCGAGTTTCCGTACATGTTTAAAAGGTAGCGGGCGCTCTTACAAAAATATGCGAGTTCCTCTTATATTTTCATAAATAAAATAGCGAGATGATTATAAATTAGTAGCCAGCCACAGACCATCACGGTGAAAATATAAACCATCGCAATTTTTCTAAATGCATAGAAAAACATAAGAGCATCCTGCGTAGAAAAATGTATGCAAATGTAAACACGGAAAAAATTATTCAGTTTACATTCCTTATTAGCACCCACGCACTCACCGAAGAACCGAGTGTAGAAGCAAGTCTCGCTCGTTATTCGATGCCTGGTCCGACATTGCTTGCTTAGAGAGCGTGGCAGCCTGCATGACGGCGAAGACACGCCGATTGCGCGCCCATGAGTCAGCGAGTGTTCGCGCGGCGCCACTTGCGTCCAACATCGCCCTCCAGGAGACGCTCGTCAGGAGCAGCAACACCGACGAGCAGGACCCGCCCAAGCTGCCCTGCAAGCCAGAGGCTCTGACGGTACGACTGGGTGATGGTGGGGGTGTGGCCGCGGCGCGGGTGCTGGGTGATGGTGGGGGTGTGGCGCGTCGTGAGTACAGGGTGATGGTGGGGATAGGGCGGACACCGAGGGTGCTGGGTGATGGTAAGGGGTGTGTTAGTTAGTTTAGAATCACATGTTAACCAGCGCTTCAGCTAGTCAGCAATCTCACACCGAAAGCCAAGACGAACATCACCAATGAGGTGGAAGGTCTCAATTATCGAAAGTTTCTCAAACCAGGAATCGTTCATCACCCGCAGAGAGCAGAAAGTTTCCAGTGTCCATCCAGCCCGCTGGAGCTGGCTCGAAAGAAGCAGTGTAGCATCTCAAAGAAAAGATGTGACAAGGAGGGACAGGTGAAAAGCAACAGAAACAAAGATACTCGAACAACAGGTCGCTTACACGAGACGTCGGCCTCCCGCACGAGAGAGACAGAGAAGGGAAATGTAAGGTATCCTACCTACATAATAACTTGACCCCACAACTGAGACCTGCAGTCGGACACCGTGAGCTCAGCGGTGGGGCGCTCAGGAACAATCCTCATAGTAACGCAAAACACCATAGGACTTCTGACGAGCACAGACACGCGTCAGAAGTCCCCCCTGAGGGGTGTGGGGATGAGGCGCGTGAGTGATTCTACTCAAATGCGTTCTAAATTTAGAGTGAATGTTCGCGTGGGTGAAAAGGTTAACTAATAAGTGATTCGCTCTATATACAGCAAATTCTATGCGTTTACACACAATAATTTCCACATGTTTGTTTACCAAAGCCACGTAATGAAGGGCCTGCACAGCGCTGATCTTTGCGGCGTCCACGATCATCGTCCCCTGAGGGAAGACGTTGGCCTCACTGATGTGTGAGGCCGCCGAGGCACCACCTTGAGTATCGTAGAGGATGAGGCCAGCACACCGGTTGAGGCCCTGTTGCTTTGAGGCCCACATGATGAGGTCCTCTTGGTCAGGGGATTCAGCGGAAGCGTGTTCAGTGCTGCGCTACAATCAAATATTAGCTTTTATCCACAAAAAATGATTCATTTTTATGATAAGGACACAACGACATCATCTTCCTGCCGCCACTAATGTGTTTGTTGATCACAGCCGTTCAAAATAGATATATACATATAATGTATATTTCCATACATTCATGACTATTTTCATTCATGACTATTTCAGTCGCAAATAGATTCTCTGTTTGCATTCCAAAACAACCAACAGAAGTACATTTTTTAGACAAGCCGAGGAAAATACAAAGAAGTCAACGGCAGATTTACACGTGAAAATCTTTTTTAATAGCGTTTCATCAAGTTTTTGCTTTCGTTCATGATGGTGTCATCCGAGATTTGCTTTTAACATTTGAAGGTTGTCGTTGCGGAGCTTTCGCGTAGGCAATATTTACTGTCAGAAATTTCCGACCCCCACAATAAATTTCTAAAACATTTTTACTGGATCGAGCTGGGTGTATGTTCGATGGCCAAACTAGATAAGGAGGAGATAAAAATCAACCCAGGCACAAGCATGCACTTCAAAGCAATTCCAATGGCCGCACACTCTCATTAGAACATCAATCCAAGGATACAAATTGCACCAGTAATATGTAATCAGCGAGAATGAAGGAGCGCATACACGAGAAAGTAAACTAAATACCTATACTCGCAGGTGCGGTTTCATACATAACATTAATTTTGTACTGCCAATATAGACGCAAGGAAGTACGAATTTGCGCACCAGCGTTGCAAGTTCGCGTTAATGCTTCCGGCTAGTCAGGCGTCAGAATTAGGTCCTGGTAGACAGGCAAGCAATATGGAACACGTGGTCAGTGGTCGGTCGTGAAAGTCAAACTTTTCTAGTGCAGTCCCACTAACGGTTTCTTGATAGGCATGAGCTGGCTACGAGGAAGCAGGTCAATGTAATGAATAATTAGATTCAGGACTCAGAGATTAGTACTCTGCAATGCATGACACATTCAAAGCATTCGTTAACAGAGGATTAAGAATTTGGCCCTGAAATTAAAACGTACCCATAGTAATCGGAGGTCTGCAAACGACTCGGGAACGAAGACAAATAGCAGGACGGAGACGACCATGAAAGACGCAGTCATGCCTGATGTATGGGTTCGGTTAGCCAGGGTAGGCGATTAAACTTAAAAGTAGGAGCGAAGCTATCGGTTGCTCTCGTCGAACGCCAGCGTATCACAAGCCCGACGCTGCTGAGATAAATTAGGCGTTAACTTCTGTTGAAGAAATGACGTCTAGATATCTAACATTATTTTACGATTGTTTTTCTTAATTCGGTGAATTAGGATTTTGATAGTGTTTGGAAATTAAAATATGAGGTTTCTATTTATATAAGAAATAAGGATAATAATAAGGAAATATTTTCTGGCCTTCAATGACACCTGCCTTATGTCTAAAAAAGTATGTAATTTATTAAAAAATAAAGCTGGGTTAATGATATTTTGACGAAAAGTTTAAATTATGTTTATACGCCTAGTTAGTACATAGGATCATATTCATATGATACTAAATGGAAGGTGTTGTAAACGTCAAGCACTTGTTAAGTAGATTTGGATTATGACAACATTAAACATTAAACATTATGGACAATGGTTATGGACATTAAACATTATGGACAAATGGTTACAGTTTCGGACGCTTCTAATTGGCTCTCATTATAAACATTTTGGAATTACAATGAAAATCGCGGGTACATTGAATTATTTAACATTGCCACGCAAGAACTTATAATGCTAAGATTCTTCCTTACGAAAACGAAAACTAAACTAAAACCACCAACCTAAAACGCAGAGATGTGGACCGAAGGTACCGTACTTCAAAATGCCTGTTAAAATTTCATAAAAGTGACCAACCTGCGATAGTCATCGTTCCGGAATTCACTGTGAAAAAAGGCTCATATTATTTATGTAGGAAGTCGAATTAAACACACCCTCATACTTTCAGGCTCGTTTTAATCGATGCAATTTAGAGAGCTCAAGGCGTGTACGTCCCTTTGCCTAAAGACGTTCAAATTTGCTGCGTCATCGACGCTGTGCTTCCATCTGAAATCTTGGACTTGCATCTGCATTTGTTTAAATTTGTTTTGAATGGGCGACTATTTTATTCCCGAGAGTTGGCAATATAAAAGCAAGTAGTTTGAATAAAAATTTTCATGCACAGGAAAAATAGTATAACAAAATATTGCGCATTTAAACTATACATGTGAAGTGACTTTGATTACATACAAAATTTCTCTTTAAATGAGTTGTAGGTATTATAGCAATCTCGATTTATGAAGTGAGGTAGATTCAAAATTGACGTTAAACTTCATTGTTTGAGTTTTGAAAGAAATTAAGCTCAAAAATTTTCAGAACGCATACGGTACTAGGATTGAAATGAGACCTAGTACATGATGATATACTAGTAATGATGAGATATCATTACTACTTATGAGATAGAATAGTTCATTTAAAAACAATTCTAATGGTTTACGACCACCAGCGCACACTCTACAATCATGCAGAAAGTTTTGACACCATATTCATGGTCATAAATTCTGCTAGTTATTTAGCACCTAAATTTACGAGCCAATGTAATGCTCATTAAGTTCAATATAATTTTCAACATAAGACTATTGATATTTCTCCCCTAATGAGGCAGGCCCTACAATGTTTCTTCCTTGACATCCGCAAGAGAGAGTCATGAATTTACACTCAATAAGTATGGGTTGCTGCTCTTTTAATTTCTCTCACGTACAATCATTTCACGTTGATCAAAATTGTGGCTGGTGAATGAGTGGCCACTGAATGTATAAAACAGTTGGCCGCTGATAATGACTTCAAATTTTTAATCTGGGATGAAGCTACAAAATTTATCGCGAGTTTCTAGGGTATGAGTTGATAATGTTGCTCGAGCGCTCTGATAAAAATGCTGGCAATCTGCTGTTTGACGTACTATTTAGAATAGCCGGACATCTCTCTGGCATTTGTTATCAGAAAAACAGAGATTTTTTTCAAATTGAAAATAAAAAGAATTGCAAGTTTGTAATTTAAAACAGAATGCGCCCCAAAATTCGACGTCAACTGTTGAGTGAGATTTACTCGCATAAGACGAATGAAAAATGTTCATAAGTATAGCTCACACGAGTAAAGTGGGATGAATATACACTAATATGAGATCATTTGTTGTGTCCAAAAATATATTATATTTATTTTAGTTCGATCTTAAATTCACTTTTTTTCACTTCATTCAGTTCGATTCCGAAAAGTCGAAATGATACAGGAACGACGAATGTGTAAACAACGCACACCAGAAATACAAAAGTGGCAATCAAAGTAGCCCAGGGCAAATGTCATACAGAGAACACATTCAGGTCAAATGAAGCAACCTAAATGAAAACAATTTGCGTGTTGTTTGCACTTCGGAAGCCCGCGCTCAAATGAAGCCTGCTAAAGTGGTGGCATGCCCGAGTCTTCATTATCACGCATCTATTTTGTCTCTTTATGTAATGACATACTGCATCAAAGCCGTGGCAGCTAATCATTAGCATGCAATTTGAATCAATTCTTCAAGTCAACCTGGAACCCTTCACGCACGCGCTCGCATGAGCTGAGTAAATGACGTGCAGGCGCATGACCGTTCAAATACTCCTCGCATCGCAGACAAGATGAATAATAAAATGTGTGTCCTATTTATGGCTGTTAGCATACCTAAGGAAGTGCTAAGTGGAACTCGTTAAATTACTTGCTTCTACTTGCATTTTACGACACGCGCGTTCGAGTAATTTTCCAGATCTCACCTGTGGTCAAGAGAACATAAAATCTTCAACCCTTCAAAATATATTCAAATTTACTTTGACAATACACGTTTATATGAATATATTAATAATAAGTTTTTATATTAAACGTTTTAAATTTATCAGTAACGTGTAATATGAATTTAGAATATCACGGCGAAAATTAAACCATCTTGATGAGTGACGTGTTATTATTTGCAGTTAATACTTCACGTTAACTCATTTGTTATGGATGAAACTGTGCAATCAAAGTAAAATCTTAAATAATACAGTGATTAAACTCAAGCTTCAACTAGAATGGATGACAAAAAATTTTTACGGGTATGATGATCCTCAACAAGTTGTAAGCCGAACAAAAGAATCCATATGGCATGGCGTGTCGTAGACAATATCGTATACCTCATGCAGAGTGGCTTCACTTATACAAACCCGTTTTCCAGCTACACCACTTCCCACTCCCGTAGTCCGGCAAAAAATGGAACGGAATGCGCTCTACAGAACAAAGAGTGAAGACCACTCGCCTGCTACGTCGTCAGCCGATATCATGCCACGAGAATGAGCGATCAGCCTCAAGTCTCACTGAGCCATCGATCGCTACTTAAGAAACCAAAAAGGATAGGTTCATCAGTTCGTCACTCACGGCAGGTTTTGTGACGCCTATTGTTGCTTTTATAAATCCCATAGTGGAAGGTTGAGCGAAAACAGACTTAATGGTTGAATGTACAATATAAGCACGTGAGGTTGCGAGTCACTATAGTTCTTACTGTTGTAATGTACAACATCAACGGCAAGGTTTGTAGCCGGTTCTAATTGGCCTAATATTTTTCGTCACAGGTCCTGTGTAGCCGTGTTAGACAAAAACACTATCTGCTGCATCATGTATGTACCGAGTTTTATTATGGTTCGTTATCAATGACAGTGGGATGTTGGAAACAAGTTATTGCCGGTTGAAAACACCCCATTAGTGGCAAGTTGTGGGAAGCCAGATCCTGATGGTTGAAAAAACTCTTTAGCGGCAGGTTGTAGGTTGAAAGTTTTTTGTTGGTTGAAAATATCCTTTGGCGACAGGTGGAGGGTAGCCAGTTCTGGTTGGTTGAAAATACATTTCGGCAACATGTTGTGGAGAGTCTGTTCTTGGATGAATAAGCTCTATATATGGCTGATCGTTCGTTTCCTAGCAAATATTATTGTTTTATCAGCATCAAATACTTAACACATTCACGCTCGATCGCTGACGGCTATAGCCATCAAGTTGAATTTACACAAAAAACACAACCTCAATACATATCTTATTTAATAGAAAGGGCTTTGAACAATAATAGCTGGTCCAAAACAGTCATACATTAGCGCAAAACTTGGTACAAAAGGCGCATCTCTTATTTACTGCTATGTTATAACACGCAGCAATGACGGCTCTTCACGTACCAATTGTTTCTTTTGCATTCTTAATATAGCCGTTCATGCTAATTGGACCAACATGAAAAACTAAAACGAGTGTGAAGGTGTTTATTGCAGTGACTTTTGAAAGGCATTCCTCGTAATGGGTTATTTTACTTAAAGGAGGTATTTCCTGCAGATATGATTAATACTAAAATTCTAGAAATTCACATTTGAAAACCATTCTGGAACGGACATGCGATCGTTCTTCTGTTTAAAGAGAAAAGAAAAATGTTTATAGTAGGATATTATTTGAAAATACGAAGATGAGCTCAAGCGAATTTTTCGGTTTATCCGTTAAAGCGATATTGATAATTTTAGTGTCATTTTGGGAAAGAAAATTTGTAAAGGTGCAAAATACTCATTCAACCGTATTCGATCATAGTCTTCCTCTCTTATAAAAGTCTCTTTCGCGGAAAAAATATTATTTTTTAGCAAGAATCTTGGACTGACTCTAAATGTTAGAATCGGTGTAAAGGCGCCCCAAAATATCTTTCACAAGTCAACAGCATGCAACTACGACAGCTATTTTTCAGGCTGTTTGTTATAAGGTTGTCCAAATGTTAAAAAAGAAAGAAAGTCGCTGCAGCCACGAGATGTCATCAAGTTATTAAAAATATATCATAAATTCCTTGTATCCGCTACACGCAACGTGAATTTTACGTACAGTCACGAATGGCAATAGGTTATTCAAACATGAACTTTCCAGTGCTGGTTCGCACTGCCAGTGATCGACAGTTTCTCTGGATTAATTGAGAACAAGTAGATATCACTTAAAAGAAATTCAGTTAGACAAATTACCGCGATTTTTATAGTCCCTATGATTAGCTAAAAATGAAGTGGGAAGGTTTCACTGTGGGAAGGTTTCAGAAATTAGACTCAAAAATGAATAACAGTAGCACTGTAGATTGTGCAAACGAAATAATATAACTTCTCCACGCGTAGAGATAATATCAGGAGTCGTCTCATAAAGTGCAAAAATTTAATGTTCAACTTTTATTCGCACATGGAGGACAAATTACGAGCATCATATTTTTTTCTTCCAAAATTTTCTCGAGAAATTAAAATGCTCTGCAGGATAGCCCGATGCCGGCGTTTCGGCTCAAGCCTGTTGTTATTCACTCAGTTTATTATTAATTGAACGGATCGTGGATATTAATAATATATTATGTTATTTTGTTTTGAGAGTCATCTTGTTCTGGGGTTCTGCAATATTATTTTCGCCGAATCGTGAATATTAATGAAGATAATTTAACGAGTGAAGTAATGAAGTTCATAATTCAAATAAAATTTATGTTCATATGAATAATTATGTAGGTTATCATGTTGATAATTTGAATGTAACACAAACATCCTACGGTATATATTGCAGCATGAAAACAAGGTAAAAAATAATAAAAAACAATACGTGTCGCGGTGAGAAGAAGCCGTAGAATGACTGCCGAGAATTCCTAGCGAGCCTGGAATGTCGGCCTCAATAGCAAAAAAAAAAAGGAGTTTGCCCGCCAGCACTAAATGTAAATGATAAACTTTTTAAATCGTAGCGAGAATCGAGGAGTAAACAGTCATTCTCGCATTTACGTTGGCGATTTTATTGCATGAAAAAATTTGCAGGGACGAGCGAGCATCATATAAAAATTTCACACACGTTTTAAAATAATGTAAGCTGAATGTCTTGCATCTTGAACTGTTTTAATGTTAAAAAGTGTAGGAAGTTTATGAGCTGGTGTTTGCCTTTACTTATACTATATAAGATTGCAAAGTGTGTCGAAACTGTAGACTCATGAAGTGTGAAATATTTTATTATCCTCCATCTCCATAAGCCGGCAGCTTCTACGTGCGACGTCGTAAGACATTAAATACTCACTACTGAATTTTAACAGTAAACGAAACAGAAAAACTAACAAGGAAACGTTTCAACCGCGAATAAAGAGAAACTTACTGTCACTCTTGTGTAAGATGACTGATGAATCATATGCCGTTTTTTCCAAAACGGTGAAGCTCTACATCGTTCGTATTAATTTTGGAGCATTTTTTTATAATTTCGTCAATAACGGCTCAAAATGAACGAAAATTCGTTAAAGCTCCATTAGCTATGCTCTGAAATTAATAAATACAGTTCATTAAAGTTTTTTTTATCTGAGCAATCGTCCCACTCGAATATCACGTGTCCCACTCAAGTAACGCGTGTCCCACTCAAGTAACGCGTGTCCCACTCAAGTAACGCGTGTGACGTGCATGCCAGCGTGCCATGAACGCTCAGGCTGGCTGCACGGTCACCAGTCCTAACAGCCGTTGCAGGCACTCAGAAAAATAAGCTGGACATGCATTGTCCAAATAGCAACGCACTTATTGCCCCTGTGAGGGTCATCCTCACCTAGTTTGGCACGGCAGAAAAGCGTTTCAGTGCTACGTGCAAAAAAGTGAGTCTCTATTTGGTCAACATTACCCATTAATTCTTCTGTGTCGTCAACGCGAAGTAAATGTTTGCCGAGAAATGATTTGCCTTGTTTAAAGAATGAATTATAAGAGAGGGCACGGGTAAATAATTTATTGTTAGCTAGTGGACGATTAGACGATAGTGGATGGCTTGAAGAAAAATTTAAGAAGATAGACATCGCACGCTATGAAATGTCTTGTAACAAGGCACATGACATCATTGGCAGTGAGTTTAATATGGAATTCAGCAAGAACTACTGTGTGAACGACGAGTATTGAAGAGGATCAGCGTTTGTTCAATTTAAACTTATAGCATTTAATTGGGAGTATAAGAGCAGCTACGAATCCAAATGATAAGGAATAACAAAGCAGGTGGAATCATTCATTGGAAGAAGAAGCTACTGAAAGTAACAGCTACAAGGTTCAAATTAATAATAGCATTCTGATTGATATGAATAGTACGGCATAAAAACATACACAGTTAATTAAAAATTGCAGGTTAACCCCGAAGACTTATCTCTAGAAAAAGTGATAAATCTTGACAACGTCAGTAATTATCATTCCACAGGCACAGCACGAAAAACTCTTGCGTTTATATATCTCGAGGCCTGAATGAACTTTCCCTAGTGCAGCAAGACCGATCAGCTTGGAAGTAAATTCGTACTCGTACGAAAACTTCCTTTAACAAATTGTTCAGCGTCCTTTTAGCGTCCAACTACACGATTATCTAAATGGTAGTTAGTATACCCGGCACTTTGTCGGGCTCTTAGCTGATGATTTTAAGGCAGTAAATAGTGCAGTCGGCATGTGCGGCTTCTAGCCAAAAGGCGCGGGTCGGATGTTTCATCATGGGAAAGTAGCAACACTTGCCTGCTACGCTAGAAAGTTTACGAGTCTCTACGGAATCGAAAAGCTATTTGTCTTAAGCTGGGAAGATGTACAGCCTTTCATAAGTACAGGTAGACGTATAATTAGGAATGTCTATAGAATTAAATGAGCTGGCAAACATTTTTTTTTGCTTGGAAGCGGTTAGCCACTTATGTTTGTGTTGAAAATAATTAATTATAAACGATTACTAAATGTATGTTGTAGAAAATGTTGTAAAATTGTATATCTGCTTGCTTCAAATTTTATTTGATATGAACCCCAACCTATGATAACCTTTGCAACTTACGATCATCGCCGAGCTTTCTGTCAATACAATAGTTCCATTGAATTTCATTAGTTCTCCAATCGTTGCGTCTACTTTACTGTCATTACGGTAACATTCAAGTTCTACAATGACAGTAAATTCTAGATTTTCTGGTTCTTCATTAGGGCTTTTATTTTTCTTCAAGAACACCGCCATAATTGACTAATATATACGATTTTTAATACTATTTCTGCACCTTAAAGGTTGATTTGGCAACCATTATTCCCGAGCACCCGGCCACAGCGGCGAATGTATTACGTGTCACCGCCGAGCGCCTGCCTCTTTGCCACGAAAGAAAAAGTGTCGATGCCTCCGGCGAAAAAGTGAACCTCCAAGACGGATGTTGAAAGGAAGACGGATGTTCTGAAGATGGTCGGGAAATCGGCCCCTGTGTGTGCATCTGGCAGTGGCAATGAGCAATTATCGCTGGATTTTCAGGTGTGTAACGTGCATTGACATGACCATGTGAGTATTCTTATTACGACAGTTAATTTGTAAGTCAAAATCTATTGATGAGTCATCGACTTAAAAAGAATCACCATGAGGCTACTTTTTGAGAATATGTCACATAAGTCGCGTGCAAAATTTATAAAATTAAATCAAGATTATAAATTTGTAGAAGATTGTTCTCATTTAACTGAACTATGCAGATTTTTCATTATACGAAAAATGGTAACAGGCAAGTAAACAATCAGACAGAAAGTGAGCAATTTAGTCGAAATGAATTCTTGCTTTCAGGAAACTGTAGGTCTGAATTGCCGAATACTATAACAATACCATTCATTAAATAAAAGTTAAAGATCTGGTAAGCCGCAGATCTAACCCCTGCAAACTGCGGTCACGGATCCAAGAGCACGTAACCTACACAATGCTCCAGCATTCCTGGACGAAGGATGCGCGCACCGCAGGGGTTACGCGAGGTGGTCCTTTAACAGCGAAGAAAACGCCCCCGTCAACCACTTACGCGTCCTTTGAATGGCAAGACGCAACAGGAACTGAATGGAGGCGGCGAAGGTTCTACGGCGATCGTAAATTCCAATATTCCTCTATTTTTCATCTATATATATTAAATTGTGGAGTGAATTTTTCATTCGATCGATGAGCGGCATTTTAGATATTCGCGAGACAGCTCTGTCACTTCTCATTGCCAGTTTGGGTTATTAAATTTAATTAAATTGTAGTTATTGTACTTTGAAAATTATTAAATCTAACTCGTCATTCCTAAAAGTGAAAATTCACAGTTTGTGAACAAATTCTCAATGTTTGTCCTGTGGAAAACGCTTCTTCCATGCGGTTGTGCGGACTACCACGAAGGGGCGGAGCCTCGTAGTCTGCTGCTGCAGCGCCGCTATATAAAGAGCGGCTCGACCCTGCCGACCTGATTGCGTCTGGTCGAGTGGTGTAGTGCGAGACTCTGTCCGTGTTGGACGTGTGTTTTGTGCTCAGGAATCTTAGCTGTTAATGCGAACAGGTAAGAATAGAACTCAGTTAAATGAGATATCTATATTCTTTTGATAAATTATTCGATTAGCACTTTAGCTTGCATAATAGCAAATTAACATTGGCAGAGAATAAATATATATGCTGAGCAAGCGTTCGCCAAAATTGGCACACGCCATCTCTTAAATAGTAAACCATTAAATTAATTCAGTATTTATATGTAACAAACATTTCGAACATTTAATGGCTAAAACTGAATATCATCTGATGTTAATATCAATTATACGTTGACTGGCCTCAATTGCCCAGGGTTTGGGGGTTAGCAGGTCTACCGCACTACAGGTTTTTAGGTCGGATCTGCGTCAGGTTTTCTTCAGAGCTCTAAATATGGTATCAATTTATAACGGGAACCTGCGTCAAGCACTGAGATATGCCAAAAATCAAGCAAATAATTCAAATGGCGTTGGTTTCAGGTACCCAATATTTGGTAAGATGCATCATTGAATAGAAGCTTGGGCTTTTGGATTTTTTTTTAGATATTATGATACAGTATAATTTCCTAAATGGAGTTTTTCTTGCCCTCTCCTGGCGAACTTGATCGGTTCCACATATTCTCTGTGAATATATATTCACAGAAGGTTTTCTCCCCACTTTTTCGAATCGATACTTACTAAACATTGTTTTTTATAATTCGATCTTCTAGTGTAATGAAGCCTAAGGGTGTGGCATTTTTAATTGATGCTGCATTCTAAAAATTAAGCATGAGCTTCGAATCGCTTAGATTCTGCCTTGTGGTTGATCCCGCCATCAGAGTTCACAGGATCTATCAATTTTACTCATCAATGCATAGCACGAATATCTTAGGATTCATGTGCTTGCAAATTAATATTGTAATAAACTTTGCGTGCATCACATTTGCATGCAGGCAACAGTGATGAGAGGACGATGTCATGCAAGCATTACGAGACCAAATGTAATTCTGCGTGAGAAAGATCAAATGTGTGGTATTCTATTGATGTGAGGTCCAGCATAGTATGTTAAAAATCAATGCAAGTGCTTGAATGTTTCTTAAAAGACTTAATGGGAATTAGACGAACTACTCCCTTTTTTCCCGTGTTTTTCCCGCCTCCTCGATATTAAACTTTTTTATTTGTGGGATCAGGAAGCGAGTTTGGCGAAGCACTACGTTTATAAGTAATTAAAATATAAATTTACTGATCGGATAAATAGAAATCTAAGAAAGCTTGATGATCTGAAGCTAAATAAATGAGCCTCTGAAGACCTCCGGTTGCACAAAAAATTTTACACAAATGTTGAATTTATTTAATTGAGATATGATTTAAAAGTCAGAAGGTGAAACCGATGCTGCAGTTCATAACAAAACATATATTTGTTTTCGGCATATTATATGCGTTTTATAGAAATTCAACATTGTGCTCATATTCAAACTTAGAGAAGGTAAAACTCCGTGCTAAAACAATGTGCCATTAAGACATCGTTATTATAGATTTTTATACGAACTGGCTACTTCACAGAAGATTTTAATCACTACTTGATATATCCAAAATTACTAATCAATGTAAAACAAATAATATTGTTGATGCAGTAAAACAATCAATATATATAATATAAAACGAATAATAGATTAATTAATACAGTATGGAAGCCATGCATATTTAATTAAATAATAGTTAACTTCAATCGTGCTCAAATAACTAATTGGATTTTTTGTCAAACTGAGGCATTGCTTATAGAATCAAGTATTCTTCTTCATTTGAATAAGGAACTTTTATTCTAAATTTCACTCTGATCATTCAGAAGAATTTTGTTAAAGTTGTGTATGAACGACTGAATATAATTAAAGAAGTTTAGTTGTAAGTACATGGATATCTTTACACCCGATTGTCTCCTTCAGTTATTTAATAAAGTTATTTAGTTTTAAATCTCACATTGTTTTCATGGTTTCAGTAAGCAGCGTGGCACTTTTGATTCGTATCAGTTCCCATCGGCCTTCTAGTCGAGATTCAGAATTTCGCAATATCTTATTCGGTACGCCAGGTGTTACTGCTCTGGAATTCATGCTACTTTAATTCAAGAATTCTTATTTGCAAGAATACGTTTTGAATACAATTAAACTATACACTCAAAGAATTTCTGATCTGTTAAATAGTTTCCGATAGAATAGACATGTTTTATTTTGAACGCTGCCAAACGTTGTTAGTTTCTATTTATCTTTGTTATCTCTGTAGTTATCCCTGCCAACTTTTCATTCATAGCAATGTTATCAAATTCCGTTTAATTTATTTGTATTCTGTATTTACTGTCTTTTGCATGATAGATGTGGGAATTGGTACTCAATTGAAAACAAGACGGTTTGATGAAATGGTTAGTATGTGATACGTATGCTTTATTCAACGCACCACCTTGCCTCGTAGCACAGTAATTTGTATGCATAAAATACATCAGGTGATAATTCACAAGGCAAATAAACGTTGCACTCAAGCTCAGTCTGCTATTATTAGAGCTACATGCATTCCTTACTTCTAAACTACACCCGGCGTCCAAGAGGTTTTGTAAACAACGCATAGTGGAAGTGTGTATTTACGGGCATATTTTTAGCGCATTTTCTCATTTATGGAAAAAAGGCGCAATTGTGCTCGCCATGTCCGTCTGTCCGTCCGTCCGTGACTTCACGTTTTCGTCGACGAGAAAATGCGCTCTCTGTCACTCACTGCAGTGAGTACTGAGTTATATTTTTGGTTTGAACTCTGCATGATCTACTCGTTTCCCAAGGACATTTTCAAATAATTTTCTCATGCTTCTTTTCAGAAGCTGCACGACGACTTCGAGTGGTCACGACATACGAGACATGTTGGGAAGAGGTTGTACGAGCGGGTTGCTGCTACTGCTGGTGGCAGTACACTGCGTCAGTGGTCTGGGGGGAGTGACTTTCCTGGGCACGGGGACATCTAGTACCACCGTGACCGCGGGAACCACCGATATCCTGTCCTCCATCTATAGCCTCTTCAATACCGGCTTGACTGGCATCTCGATCGGCACAGGGGCCACAAGTGGGACTGGACTTGAAAGTGAGTTCCTGAGTTATATTGTTGTCCTTTGCAACAGTTAGACAATTATGCAGTTATATTGCTGTCCTCTGTAACGATTAGAACAATTACACAGTTATCGGCTTCAGAAGGCCGGATCCCTTGTGGAATCAAGTCACGAAAAGTACACGAATCGGCAACAGGCCATGAGCCTATTTCTCCAGTTTCTAAAATTCTATTCTATTCTATATTGCTGTTCTTTGTAAGATGTTTATATTCTGCATTACAACATGTGGCTGTCCTCTCCATAGAAATGTGCACATTTTTCCTTCAAATGATCTTGGTATCTCGAGGGTCTTGAGGTCGCGTATACATGTTGAATTATCTTTTCCTTTAACCGATTATTGAAGTTTGCCGGTGAAAACTCCATGGTAAAGTGACAATTTTTTTCTTTCTTCAAATGATATTTTGCATGCTGGTTCCGTTATGACAGGTAATTGAACTCTCAAAGTATTAAATTTCACAGGCAGATTGAAATCAACAATGTATCATGTTATAAAATTAGACCAAGTTTGTATTATAGTTTTTATTTTATTATTTTAAACTTCTTAATATTTTGAGACCGTAATAAATGTTTACTAAATTAATTTCATTTTTTTTTGCACCACGCAGGCGTGGCTGGGTCTCTGGCCCTGCTGGCAGCAGCCCTCAAGGCGCCGCTGGTGGCTCTCTACCAGATATCTGCCGAGGTTGTGGTCATGGTTGCACTCATTCTTTTCATCAGTGAGTTGCACGTTCTTTTTAATCAAAAAATAAGATGATTTGAAAACAACTTTGTTTATTCTGTGAATATTACATGCAAATATTTGAATTTATGCATAATGGCAACATGATTCCAGAATCTTTCGGTTAGGTGTCAGAAAAATTTGACAAATTGAAATAATGCCTTTTTAGCGCATTTTCTCATTTATGGAATCGATGTCCGTTTCTCATGTCCGTCTGTCCGTCCGTCCGTGACTTCACGTTTTCGTCGACGAGAAAATGCGCTCTCTGTCATTCACTGCAGTGAGTACTGAGTTATATTTTTTATGTTAACCCTGACCAGGTTACATCGCTTCCTTGCTTGGAATCGATGATTTCCGTAAGCGCACAGGCATCGCCGGCGCGGCGGCAGACGAAGGCTCCACAGACTCCTCGCCCTCTCGCAGCTTCTTCAGCAGGTTGCTGGAGACCGAAGCTGTACAGCACCTCACGGCCAGGGTGCAAGACGCTATCGAAAACTTCGATACAAAGGAATTTCTCGCGAAACTTGATAGTAGGTTCTAAAGAATAGATTCTTCAATCCCTAAAATATTGAAGATGGCTGGGGATGAAGCGGGTTTAATTACTTATCGAGAATTAAGTATGGGGAAATTTGTGGAATTTCCTGAAATGAAAGGTATACATGAATGTTCTTAGACATGAGTCCGGAAACATTAAAGAGTGGTTTAGAACTTCAATGTACGGTTGTTTGTGGTTCAAACACTGCATTAGCTTTCTTATTTCATGAGGGATCGTGTAATTTTTATTGGCATTGGCAAATTTTGATTTATTATAAAAATCCTTAAAACATGCAATCACACGGCCAGTCCTTGTAATCTGTGTACGTGTAGAGGAGATAATCACGGTCGAGTTAATAGTTCTTGTGCTGGCGCGGGGGGGGACAACTTTTGTCCTTAGGTTCTCATTCTCGATATATTTTATTTCTATTTATTATGTTACTAATCATCAAACCATAAGTGTGATTCGTGCTGATCCTTTTTTAACGTAGTTAATAAGTAAAGAAAAAAACGGAAGCTAAATTTAATAGCACGAGGTTTTCTAAAAAAGCTGTATTAAAGAAAAAATTACGTCTCACTGACGTTCACACCGATTCCAAAGAGACCAAGAAATGACCCCGAATTTATTTTCAATTTTGACTGTGACATGACGGGAACTGGAAATGACATGTTCGCTTACGCATTTCGACTGCTGGCACGGCATTTGATGATGTGCATAGCTGCGACGCAAGCACTTGCCACTCACGGACATTATTATTTTAGATTATTTAACGTGTAACCAATGACTACTGAAGTGAAGCTGTAGGAGCGACAAGTTAGCGGACTCTTGGATGTGTTTAACTGTTTATAATACGGTGGAAAATTCTAAGTAGTAACTTGAATGGCGTGTGGTGTGACGCGAGTGTTTCTCGTAAGGAGTAAAGATGACTCGAGTAAGGTAGGACCGTTCTAGGTTTTTTAACTTTTCTTTAATTGTTTTCAATTTTGCCAGATTTAAATGAAAGCTAGACTCACCGAGCGACAGTAATCATTATGCAAATTAAGTCACCAACATGCCATTAGAGCGTTATTAGAAGTAAGCTGGCTTGTAGTCGAACTTGTAATTTCATGTTGGTGGCTTTAAAGTCATAGCTTTCATTAGAAGCTCGTTTAACTGTTCTCCAAACTTTATGTTCATCCTAATTTATTTGATATTCTACTTTAATCTGACATGCAGGTGACGGAAAATTCGACTTCGACAAAATAGAATTCATTATTGTGACAATGACTACAATGACTAACATCACAATGATGACTAGATACCAATGACTAATATGACAATCACGACTAGATACCGATGACTAACATGTCGATAATTACTAAGATACCGACGAATAGCATGTCAATAATGACTAAGATACCGATGACTTGCAATGATGACTAAGATACCGATGACTAATATGACAATGATGAATAAGATACCAATGACTTACTTACAATAACGACTAAGAAACAAATAACTAAGATGACTATGAAGGCAATGACCAAGGTGAAAATTATGACAATGTCATCGTTAAAAATAACTTCTACGACTGAGAGGGCAATGATGACAATGACTAAGATGGCCATGACTTTCATGACTAAGATGACCATGACTTTCATGACTAAGATGCCAGACTTTCATGACTAAGATGACCATGACTTTCATGACTAAGATGACCATGACTTTCATGACTAAGATGACCATGACTTTCATGACTAAGATGACCATGACTTTCATGAATAAGAGGACCAATACTTTCATGACTAAGAGGACCACGACTTTAATGACTAAGATGACCATAACTTCCATGACAAAGATGACAATGATCAGGTTGACTAATATGAAAATTATGACAATGACCTCACAGACTTAGATGACCATATCACAACGAATACGTTGACCTCGACTAACATATAAGTGACTTCAATGACTTAGCAGTTTCGCGACTTATGTTTGTTATATGTGAGCATGTAATATTAACCTGTAGATAAGATTATTTGTGTATATGTACATATGATACAAGTGAGCAACTAGGATAATTATTTATTTTTGTACAAAAAGAACGCGTTCATTGCTTCAGGCATGCGCGCGACGCTTGGAATGAAGAGTAGACAGATGTTTTCTGTCAGCATTATGACGCGACGTGAAACAGACGTTTTCTGTCAGCATTATGACATGACGTGAAACAAATGTTTTCTGTCAGCATTATGACGCGACGTAAAACAAATCTTTTCCGTCAGCATTTTGACACGACGTGAAACAAATGTTTTCTGTCAGCATTATGACGCGACGTGAAACAGATCTTTTCTGTCGCATTTTGACTCGACGTTTATCTTTGTTTTGCTTTAACTGTATTCCCCGACGTAATTAATCTATACTGAGAATATCCCTCATCTAAGCTCTGCATTAAGTTTTACCTCAACTCGAAACTCAATTATTATCTTGGATTGTGTTGTGCTTATAGGAAAACTGGACGAATAAAAATTGTTGCTATACACTCGAAAATTTTTTCAACTTTATTACTAGCAACCATGCCACTTAGAAACCAGAAGTAAAATCCGCTAATTTAGTGATTTCGTTATCAAAATAAGTCTTTTTTAGTCGCTTAAATATAGCACAGCAAAACCGCTCGTTCTCGCGCACGACGAGCTTGTCAACTCTGCCATGACGAACGTTTCTTTTTACATGACTAACCTTAACTCGATGTATTTTAACGTGTGACAAAATGTGACCCGACTGATGATGTGACGTTGTTGATTGATGTTACTTTGACTTGATTGTTGTTGAGTTGTTGATTATTTATTTAATAAATACAATGTTAAAACCTTAATTTGTTCGTTTTCGTTTTCTACCTCGCTCGAAATAATTTGACCAGTTATTACTGTTGGATAATTAAATTTTGGAGGGTTTGAGAATAAAAATCAGTGATAGAAAGTCTGAACGAGATAAAAACAGTCATTTTTTAATAATTCAGCAGAGAAAATTATCTAAAATTCGAGAACATCTGATGGTAATTAATATTCTGTAAACGCGGATGCATTAATCAACACACGAATCTCTTCTCCCTGAAGCCAAATAATCTTTTACTCATGAACGTAACTAGCCTAAAAGATTAAACGTATAACTGATGCGTAAAATTTCAAGCATCTGGCACAACATTTTCACCTTACGTCAACATAGGGACAATCGAGCTAGACGAAGTGGTGTAGGTCATAACGCGTTTTTAGGTCTAGTTCTTCGACATCTTTACGATGGACAAAGATTTGATCTTGACTGGCAGGCCTTTGACTCATTTTACGAGTGAGAAATTGCAAGTTGGATTCGTAATTGCAGGTGCAGGTAATAAGCCTATATCGGAAAATAACGTATAATCTGAAGAGCCAGTCTGCTTTCTCCGCCGGGTAAAAAGTTTCAGAGCTAATGGGCGCGAGAGCGATGGCCGAAGGCGGAACTTGATCCCAAAACTACCACTGCTCGGTACTGCTGCGCTCCAGCCTGCACTCATGTAGCATCGCTGCACTAATGTCTTCAATAAACTCATGCAAATTTACTCCATACACTGGACATTTTTTTGCAAGTTTTTTTTTTAATACTATAATTAAAGAAGATTATTGACAACCTCTTTGGGTCTCATAAGAATGTAATGGCATTGTTTTCCCACGCCAATCTTGGCGAAATATATTTTTTATTATGACGAACTTTTATCTGCAGAAATATAGGAGGTCTTAATAAAGTTGCTGATAAATTTCAATCAAGATGTAGGTCTCAATAAAAATGTAGGTTTTAATAAAGGTGTAGGTCTTAGTAAAGATGTAGGGCTTAATAAAGATGTAGGTGTTAATTACTCGCCTGCAGCTCATCTCTTTGCAATTGTTTGTTAAGCTCATAAACGTTTCAGAATAAAAACATAATTCTTACAAAACGGCTTGGACGACTCTTACGAATTAGTGCCGAAAGTGTTAGTTGTAATTCTTTGTTAATTCATCAAGTTCATTTACTACCTATGCGATTCACCGAAGGAAAAGTATCTGCAGATTTCACTATTCATTTCCAAAGTTCAGTGTAAGTTGCAACGTTCAGGCGTATCTTTGAAATTCTCTCGAGCCCCATAGAATAAATGTTCTCGTTCTTCGTCGTACACCATAATAAACTGAGTCCATGCTCGACAACATTCTTGAAAACTTAACGAAGTGTAGAAGCTCGGTTTGGGATTCCTCCATGAAGTGAACCCTCCAGAGAACGAAAATTTGGGGTCTCAAATATCGGGAGCGACACTTAGAGACGGAAAGCGGGCCGCATACCTCAGCTCTGCACGACCTCAATCAGTGTGCAGCTCTGATATGCGTCGCAGCAGCTCTGTGGTGCGTCAGATCAGCTCTGAGGTGCGACAAAGCAGCTCTGAGGTGCGCCAGAGCAGATCTGAGGTGCGCCAGAGCCGTTCTGAGATGCAAGTGGTAGATCTGAGGCACGCCAGAGTAGTTCTGGGTGCACAAATTTGGCTCCGTGGTGGCATTTATGTGGTGCCTAAGCGAGGTTAGCTCCTGCGCTACTCAATCAACATTAACATGACAAGTTAGCATATGAACTTCCTCTTACCATTCAAGAATTTTTTCCAGCTATCGCGGGCTGCTGATACGTAAAAGACTACACTAACTCGAATAATTAATATGGCGGTAGTCACTAACTCGAATAATTAATATGGCGGTAGTTACCTTACACATTTGTCAATCCTTTATGAATCTTTACTGACAACTTATGAGATCCCGGTGCGGTTGATGGTCGTGAGGAATCTCATTTGATTTAATATGATAAAAATTAATAAATAATAAATTATAACGACGTAGCTAAGTTCATAGGCTGACTCATAAACGCGAAGGAGTCAAATATTTTTAGAAAATTTTCGCTAAGTTTGTTTACTAAATTTGTTCGTTTGCTGTGCATTTGTTTCAGGGAGCTGTGATTAGGGAAACTTAGATCCTACTAAAATTTGTTCGAAGTCTAAGTTTTGGTCGATTTTTTTCGTTTAAACACAAACACGTTAATTTAATTTACTTCGATCGTGTGATTTTATTTTTATCAGATTACAGTTCACGTTAAGGAATATGAGGCGTTTAAGTAATTTAGAAGTAGACCATCAAACATGTATTATTAGCAAAAATTCTTACCAGTTTCTTCCAAATTTTTTATAAAAGTTGTTAAATAATTGCGATGGTTCGATAATTTTGAACGGCCAGAATTTCACATAACACTTTTACCAGATAATTCATCAGCATGAACGCACTTGTGCTTTTATATCTAATATCTTTAATTGGAAATATTGCAATTTTCTCGTTTCTCTTCAGAAAATTTCTTTGATGTTGCAAGTTCAATCGATGTAGTTTCTTCTGCGTCCAGCATACGTCGTATGCTCCGTCGTTTTTATTATCCCTGTGGCATTAATATAATTGAAAATTGGAGTTGAGTATTGTGCACTAGAATACTTTTTCGCCAGAAAAAAACATTCTAATTGATGTTTCCATCTGCAATAGATTATTGATGGCAATGTTCAATGATTGTACATTCAAGTGGATGACATGTTGGGGCCTCGCATGAAACACATTATAGTGATTTTTAAAATCGCAGCTCAGGTGAAGACTTTCGTTCTATCATATAAAACTCATAAAATTCTATCATATAAAAAAATGTCTCTGTTTGCAACGCGGTTCAAGTTAGGATCGCACATGTCTGCAGGTTCTTTCAATCTCTGATTTTAATGTCTGAATTTAATTTTTGTAGAATTTTGTTTATTTGAACAACCATTGAAATCGAAAAAAATTCCCGGTATACGAGTTTATAATCTGCTGAATTGACTAAAATGTTTAAATGTTTTTTACTTGCAACCAGTTAAAAGAGCGAACTGGCAGCGGTCCAGTGTGATGTAAAAAAGTTCAAAGCTGAGCTGTAAAAACGTAAAAAGTAAACCAAACGAACGGTAATTCGCTAGTGAAATCGAAACATTGATAGTTTACTTATGTGTGTTCGAAACGCTTGCTCCAGATCCATCCTTGCATGAGATCCTGCAAAAAACTCTGACATGAGCTTGATTTTCAGGACGAGTTTGATGCAGAAGCTCGGGTGCTATATTATAACGGGTCCCGGTCGGCTGAAGTGACAACTGATGTTCTCATATACCACACAACCTTCCCTCTGGCTAGTGAAATTTATTCGCACTCCTTATCTTGTGTCTTAATTACTTATTACTTACTTACTTCAGGATTCGTAAATAAACTTAAAGCTCATTCAAGTCCTTATTTTTATCCTATCTTTAGAGTTTAAGTATTGTAAAGAAAGAGCTAGTTGATTTTCGTCAAGGATTGGAAAAATAGGGATTTTTTTTTCAATGATTGTTCGTTTGGCCCCCTGTGATGAGACTGATGAGATATTGACAGAATATTAGAGAGTAAACGAGCGTCAAATTCTATAAATTTGAAAAGATCTCATTTGCAAGAAGCAGTAATGAATTCTAATTTCACTAAATTCATGGGCAATTAAATTGAAGGAAAACGCTATTAGTTTCAATTAACAGGTAATTTCATCGCGATATTGGCAATCGAAAAAGGCCATTGAAAGGCAGGTGCATTGCAGGCATATCAGCATGCATGGTAATAGAGACACCGCAGGGATTCCGCGTGACTATACGATGCGCTGATGCATAGCGCTATGTCTGTAATTGCATCGTCTAATGTCTCGGTAATGACATCAATTACTTTCCAGTCTAGCGTACAGTCGTTCTGGCCCACGTTTATGAGGTAGCACGTTCCGCAAGCTCAAATTTTAATTATAGACCCCCTATATAGTTAACGTGTGTGGTGCATACTCAATGAGCAAGACCATGCGAATTATGTATGTATGGGACCTAATATTCTGGTACACTCGGCGAATATTCTATAATGCAATTCGTACCCTAATTGTGCAACCCTGCAAGCTTAGATGGCTAACGAATATTTTGTCCCATGGGGCCAAGAAGAATCAATTTGTGCTGGAAAGAAATCGTTATGCTATTCCTAAACGAATTTTTATCCGCTTTGGGTCGCACACGGACCTCCAAGCTTATCAATAATTCAGTGTAGTAGAAGTAAGAAGATGAGCTAAAGCTCTGCTGGACTTCACCACTATAATGGAGATAGGGTAAAAGCGGCTGACGAAAAATGTATTCAAATATATTTTTACGGTCAGCTGCCTAAACTTCCAATAGAATAATTCCAATGCATGTCTTTTCCAGGCAATGGGCTAAGGCGTATGAGAAATTTTTCTCGAAGATAAAAAATTGTTTTTGCATGTACTTTACTGATTGTTGGTTTTGAAAGACGTATTAATATCGACAGAGTTTCTAAAAGAAAGTAGGCTTAGCGTGTGGAACGCATTTCAACTGCAAAGAACGCACCCTAGCTTATCCGTGTATAGCAGATGCAAAAATTTAGCTTGTGAGACGCGCATGCTAATTACAGGTTAAAAAAGAAAGTGAATTTCAAAAGGCGACACTAGCACTTCGAAGCAATTTTTTGTAGCCACCCCAAGTTTGACATGAGTTTATAATTGAATTGCTAATTCTACGAGCTTTGAAAAGAAATAAAGCGTCTAGTTTATATTCCAGGAACCTTCACACGCAAGCGGACTCAGAGTATAGACGACAGACTGTGCATAGGAAATCATATCTAGTGCATAAAGTTAGTTCAGAGGAACAAATTTTGTTTGATCGAGTAGCTGATGATTTTTCCCTCGGAAATTTATGTTAGATTTGGGAAACATAATCTAGTCAATTCTCAAATACAGCCTAAATAAAGATGTATG